TACCTCCTATAAAATGATTGTGCTTGTCCTGCCTATTTCTTAGCGAAGAGAGAGCTAATCCATATTTTTTAACCTAAAAGTCACTGTAAAAATACGGGATTCTGTTGACTTCATTGTAGTGAACTTGTTGTTGTTAAAATGTATGCTTATGAAAGAAAAAAATTTAATAGCCCAGTAATGAATTAATTGATAATATTTTATCAAATTGAGATAATAATTCACATACCATAAAATTCATTTTTTAAAAATGGACAGCTTAGTGGGTTTTCGTACATTCACAAGAGTATGCAACCATCACCACTGTCTAAATCCAGAATATTTTTATCATGCCCCCACTAAAAAACCCACATCTCTTAACAATTATTCTTGCTACTCCCATTCCCCTATCACCTGGGCAACCACTGATCTACTTTCTGTCTCCGTGGATTTGCCCATTCTGGACATTTTAGATAAATACAATCATGCAATATATGGTGGTCTTTTGTGGCTGATTCTTCCATGTTGTAGCATGTATCAGCACTTCATTCCTTTTTATTGCCAAATAATATTCCATTACATGGATAGACCATGTTTCATTTATCCATTCTTCATTTGAGAGATATTTGAGTTGTTTCTACTTTTTACCTGTTATCACTAATGCTGCTGTGAACATTTGTATACAAGCTTTTGTGTATACATATGTTTTTCTTTGTCTTGAGTATATACCTAGGAGTGAAATTATGGGTCCTATGGCAACTCTGTGTTTACCCTTTGAGGAACAGCCAGACTGTTTTCCAAAGTAACTGTACCATTCTACATTACTACCAGCAGTGTATGAAGGTTCCCATCTCCACATTTTCACCAATACTTGTTATTGTCCATCTTTTATATTGTAGCCCCTAGTGGATATGAAGTGGTATCTCATCGTGGTCTTGATTTGCATTTCCCTAACAACTAATGACCTTTAAACATCTTTTCCTGTGCATATTGGCCATTTGTATATCTTCTAGGAGAAATGTCTTAACTCTTTGCCGATTTTTAAATTGGGATTTTTGTCTTTTTGTTAAGTTGTAATGATACATGATTTGCACTTTTTTCCCCCCATTTTATAGGTTGTCTTTTCACTTCCTCGATGGTATCTTTTGAAACACAAAACTCATTAATTTGGGTTCAGGTATGCTGGCTCACACCTGTAATCCCAACACATTGGGAGGCCAAGGAGGAAGGATCACTTTAACCAGGAGTTGGAGACAAGCCTGGGCAACATAGGGAGACCTCATCTCTGCAGAAAAATTTAAAATTAGGTGGTGCACGCCCATAGTCCCAGCTACTTGGGGGCCTGACGTGGGCAGATCACTTGAGACTGGAAAGTTGAGGCTGCAGTGAACCAAGATCATGTCCCTGCATTCTGGCCTGGGCATCCAGGAGTGAGGCCTTGTCTCAAAAAAAAAAAAATTTTTTTTAAGGCCGGGCACGGTGGCTCACACCTGTAATCCCAGCACTTTGGGAGGCCGAGGCGGGTGGATAACTTGAGGTCAGGAGTTGGAGACCAGCCTGACCAAAATGAAGAAACTCCGTCTCTACTAAGGATACAAAATTATCCGGGCATGGTGGCTCATGCCTTTAATCCCAGCTACTGGGGAGGCTGAGGCAGGAGAATCACTTGAACCCAGGAGGCAGAGGTTGCAGTGAGCTGAGATTGCACCATTGCACTCCAGCCTGGGCAACAAGAGTGAAACTCCGTCTCAGAAACAAAACAACAAAATAAATTAAATTAACCGGGCATGGTGGCACACACCTGTCATCCTAGCTACTCAGGAAGCTGAGTTGGGAGGATTGCTTGGGCCCAGGAGGATGAGGCTGCAGTGAGCCATAATTGCACTACTGCACTCCAGCACAGGTGACAGAGTAAGAGATCTTGTCCAAAAAAAAAAAAGTTTCTAGTTTTGATGATTATTTTCTAATTTTTCTTGTGCTGCTTTTGCTTTTGGTGTCATCTAAGAATCACCTAATTCAAGTTCACAAAAATTTACACCTGTGTTTTCTGAGAGTTTTGTAGTTTTAACTCTTACATGTAGATCTTTGATCCATTTTGATTTTTTTTTTTGTGATAGTGCAAGGTAGGTATCCAGATTTGTTCCCCTGTGTTTGATTTCCACTTGTCCCATCACCATTTGTCAAAGACTGTTCTTTGCCTATTGAATTATCGTGTCACCTTTCTCAAATTTGAACATACACGTGAGAGTTTATTTCTGCGTTCTCTGTTATATTCCATTGGTCTGTATGTCTTGTCTTTATACCAGTACTGCAATTTTTTTATAAGTTACAAATTGAGTTTATAATTGCATATATTTACAGTACAGAGTGATGTTATGATCTATGAGTACAATGTGTAAAAATTAAATCAAGCTCATTAACATATCCATCACCTTAAATACTTATTTTTGTCATGAGAACATTTGAAATTTACTCTTAGCAATTTTGAAATGTACACTAGCCTTTTATTAACTATATTCGCCATGCTGTGCAATAGATCTAAAAAAAAAATAAAAGTATTCCTGCTGTCTGAGATTTTGTACCTTTTGACCTTTCATCTCCCCATTCCCCCTGCCCCTCAGCGTCTGTAACTACCATTTTACTCTGGTTTTATGAGTTTGATTCTTTTTTTTTTTTTTTTTTTTGAGACGGAGTCTGGCTCTGTCGCCAGGCTGGAGTGCAGTGGCCGAATCTCGGCTCACTGCAAGCTCCGCCTCCCGGGTTCACGCCATTCTCCTGCCTCAGGCTCCTGAGTAGCTGGGACTACAGGCGCCCGCCACCTCGCCCGGCTAGCTTTTTGTATTTTTTTTTAGTAGAGACGGGGTTTCGCCGTGTTAGCCAGGATGGTCTCGATCTCCTGACCACGTGATCCGCCGGTCTCAGCCTCCCAAAGTGCTGGGATTACAGGCTTGAGCCACCGCGCCCGGCTGAGTTTGATTCTTTTAGATTCTGCATTTAAGTGAGAACATGTGGTATTTGTCTTTCTGTGCCTGGCTTATTTCAGTTACCATAATGTTCTCCAATTCCATCCGTGTTGTCAGAAGTGACCGAATTTCCTTCTTTTTAAAGGCTGAATAGTATTTCATTGTGTGTATATACCACATTTTCTTTATTCATTCATCTATTGATGGACATGTTGGTTGATTATGTAACTTGGCTATTGCAAACAGTGCTGCAGAGAACATGGGAATGCAGACATCTCTTCGACAAACTGATTTCAAATCTTTTGGGTAAATACCCAGAAGTGTGATTGCTGGATTCCACACGGTTTTAACTACTGTAGCTTTGTAAATAAGTTTTGAAATAAGGAAGTGTGAGTCCTCCAGCTTCGTTCTTTTTCAAGATTGTTTTGAATATTCTAGGTCCCATTCATTCCCATATTAATTTTAGGATCATTTTGTCAATTTATGCAAAAACACCTGAAATTTTGATAGGGATTACATTGAATCTGTAGATCAATTTGGGGAATATCACCATCTTAACAATATTAAGTTTCACAATCCATGAACACAAATGTCTCTCTGTTTATTTAGGGTTTTTGTTTTTATTTCTGTTTTTTACGGAATCTTGCTCTGTCGCTCAGGCTGGAGTGCAGTGGCGCAGTGTCGGCTCACTGCAAGCTCTGCCTTCCAGGTTCACACCATTCTCCTGCCTCAGCCTCCCTAGTAGCTGGGGGTACAGGCGCCCACCACCTCGCCCGGCTAATTTTTTGTATTTTTGGTAGAGACAGGGTTTCACTGTGTTAGCCAGGATGGTCTCGATCTCCTGACCTCGTGATCCACCTGCCTCAGCCTCCCAAAGTGCTGGGATTACAGGCGTGAGCCACCGTGCCCGGCCTATTTAGGTGTTTTAAATTTCTCATAGCAATATTTTATAGTTTTCAGTATTCATATCTTGCATTTCTTTTGTTAAATTTATTTTATTTCTAAATATATTATCCTTTTTGATGCATGGTCAGTGGGATGGCTTCCTTAATTTCATTTTCAGATTGCTCATTGCTAATATATAAAAATACAATTGATTATTGTGTTTTTGTTTTGGGGGGTTTTTTTCTTTTTCTTTTTTCTTTTTTCTTTTTTTTGGAGACAGAGTTTCACTCTTGTCGCCCAGGCTGGAGTGCAGTGGCGCGATCTTGGCTCACTGCAACCTCTGCCTCCCGAATTCAAGCAATTTTGTCTCAGCCTTCCTAGTAGCTGGGATTACAGGCATACGCCACCATGCCTGGCTAATTTTGTATTTTTAGTAGAGACAGGATTTTACCATGTTGGTCAGGCTGGTCTCTAACTCCTAACCTCCAGTGATCCACCCACCTCAGCCTCCCAAAGTGCTGGGATTTTAGGTGTGAGCCACCACACCCAGCCACAATACACTTTCTATCAAGAAAAAATATATCTGTCCACTCCAAATATCCAGGTGACCACTTAGCACCTGAACCTTGCCTTTGGTATAAGTATTGACTAAATTTCAGACCCTGTGGTCCTGACAGGCTTTTCCTAGCTCCATCCCACTGGGGCTGAGAAATTACCAGAAGCCTTGTATAAGTACTAATCCCAGTAGTTTTCAGTGTAATGTCGGTTTTGTTTGTCATCCCCTGCTGTGTTATGAGAGCCTTTCTTGGGAAACCATCATATTAAAGGAATGTTTTACAGGTGGCTTTGGAGACAGGGATAACATTCAAAGATCATCTTTAAAATGTTATTTTGGTAGGTTTTTACTTTATTAAAGTGTGCAGAGCAGAATTGCAAATTCCTTTGGTTTCTTCTTGCATTTCCAACATTAGGAACAGCTGTTTTAAGATTGTATTTTCCTGGGGGGCACCCTGTAGCAACATCTCATTGATTCCTTTGTCATCCTTCTGGGTCCAACCTCAGAACCACACAAGTTTATCACTCCAGGCCACAGTGAAAGCAAGAGGCATGGTCTTCAGGCCACCTCTGAGCATCATTCTGAACCCCCTTGTGATCCAGCCCACTTCTCGCCCACAGGTAACACGTACACAGACCTCTCGGCCGGAATCTCCAGGGATGACCAGCCCCTCCCCACGCATCCAGATAATCTCCACCGACTCTGCTGTAGCCTCACCTCAGCGCATTCAGGTACCTGCACCAGTCCCACTTCGTTCCACCTGTCTGCCAAAGGCACCTCTGCCTTTCCTGAACTCTTTCCAAAAACAAACCTTCCTAAGGGTTTCACTAAGGAGTTGTGCCTTTTGGGCATCAAATACAGTACAACTTCATCGATTCTTTAAAAAAAAATTAAAAATGCTTACATTTATTTAACCAACTTACATGTAAAGCAAAAGCCTGAACTGTTGTTTCAAACTATTGAGATGAAGTACCATTTTATTACTTATTTGCTTCCAAATTGGGAGGCAGCATATCTTAGTACTGTGATTAAGAGCAAGGGCCCCTACTTGAAGTCAAATCCAGTGCCCCACTTAGCTTTTTTGACCTTGGTCAATTAACATTTTAATGCCTCACTTTCTTCATTTGGAAAATATACATAATAGTAGTTATTTGCCTCACGAAGTTATTATGAAGAATCAAAGGGATATTGCTTATAAAGTGCTTAGAATGGTGCCTGGCACATAATAATGTTCAATATGTACTAATTATATAATAACTATTATTAATATTGTTATTAACTAATCGATATTCACTTATGGGAAGTTGTCTTCCCTAGGGCTCTGAACCTGCCTCTGGCCCATTGAGTGTTTTCACCTCTTTGAACAAAGAGAAGGTAGGTGTATCAAGCTTGCAGGCAAAAAGCTGGGAGGAAGGGATAATATATTGATGACAAAGATTTATTGTTACCTCAACAAGCTGAATCAAAAAGCCAGTTATAACTGTTGATTTCTCTGTTTTTCTCCTTGCAGTTTTATCAGTTTTTTTTGCCTCACTTTGATGCTCTGTTGTTAGTTGCATATATGTTTTATATTGTTATGTCTTTTTGGGGAATTAACCACTTTCTTGCTTGCTTTCTTGGTTGCTTGCTATCTTTTTATTTATTTTTGAGACAGGGTCTTGCTGTATTGCCCAGACTGGTCTTGAACTCCTGACTTCAAGTGATACTTCTGCCTCAGCTGAGTATTTTGTAATCCCAAAGTGCTGGGATTACAGGCTTGAGTCACCATGCCCAGCAACCCTGTTCTTATTATGTACCACTTCCCTTTATGTTTATTTTCCTTGTTCTGAAGTCTGCTTTGTCTGAAATTACTGTAGTTACTCCAGCTTTCTTTTTATTAGTGTTGGTTGCTAGCATGGTATAACTTTCTCTATGTTTTGACACTTCTTCTTTTTTTTTTTTTTTTGAGACAGGGTCTTGCTCTGTCACCCAGGCTGGAGTGCAATGGCGTGAACACAGCTCACTGCAGCCTCTACCTCACAGGCTCAAGCCATCCTTTCATCTACGCCTCCCAAGTAGCTGGGACTACAGGCGCATACCACCATGCCTGGATACACACACACACACACACGATTTGTTTTGTTTTTTTTTAATAGAGATGGGATTTCACCATGTTGCCAAGGCGGATCTCAAACTTCTGAGCTCAAGCAATCCGCCTGCCTCAGCCTCCCAAAGTGCTGGGACTACAGGTGTGAGCCACCGTGCCTGGCCAACTTTTTTTTTTTTTTTAGGAGAGTCTTGCTCTGTTGCCCAGGCTAGAGTGCATTTACTATTCACAGACAGGATTGTAGAGCACTACAACTTCAAACTCCTGAGCCCAAGCTGTCGTTCTGCCTCAGCCTCTCAAGTAGTTGGGACTACAAATGTGCACCACTGTCAGCTACTCCATCACTTCATTTTGCATCTGTCTGTGTCTTTATATATAAAATGGTTCTCCTGTAGGCAATATGTATTGGGGTCTTGATTTTTTCCCATTTTTTTCCTACTTCCTGTATAATTTCATAAGAGTCTTGTTTTTTTTAGCCAGCTGACAATCTGTCTTTTCATTGTGAATGTGGATCAATTCATAAAGTGATTGTTGATATATTTGGATTAATATCCTCCATTTAGGCTGGGTGTGGTGGCTCACCCTTGTAATCCCAGCACTTATGGAGGCTGAAGAAGGCTTATCACTTGAGCCCAAGAGTTCGAGACCAGCCTGGGCAACAAAGTGAGATTGTATCTCTACAAAAAAAAAAAACTAAAAAATTAGCCAGACATGGTGATGCATTCCTGTAGTCCCAGCTACTTGGGAGGCTTTGGTGGAAGGATTGCTTGAGCCCCAGAGGTTGAGGCTGCAGTGAGCTGTGATCATGCCACTGCACTCCAGCCTGGGCCACAGAGCAAGACCCTGTCTCAAAAAACTAAAATAATAATTCAGAACTATTCATATGAGCTAAAATTTATACTTAAGTAAAAGATTTATTTACCTTTTCGCAAAGGTCAGGATTTATTAATACCTTTTTGCAAACCTTTTTTAAAGCAGGTTCCTTCTACCCTTTTTATTTTTAGTTAATAATCTTTGCTGTTATCTTTTGGTATGCTCTAATATATGATCTGTCTTATAAATTTATATATATTCTATATGTAAATTCTATATTTGTTATAGGAAATTGTGTATACGTAGGTATGTGAGTGGACGGGTGGTATGTGTATATAAATAGTATGGGAAATCTGAAGAGCTGGTTTTGGGTCGGTGGACAAACCCTTGAAGGGATTCTCGTTGTACTCAGAAAGAAATCCAGACTCGCAGCAGGGCCGTCCCACCTCTTTAGGTTCCTGGGCCATGCTGGTTGTCCATGGGCCTGATAGCAGTTGCTAAGAGTTTGTTCCTCCCAGGGCTTTCCATATGCCAGAACATTTCTCTTTGCTGGAACGCTAAACATTTATCTGGCTGCTGTCTCCTCAGCCTTAAACCTTTTTTTTTTTTTTTTTTTTTTTTAAAAAAGGCATTTCGCTCTTGTCACCCAGGCTGGAGTACAGTGGCACAGTGTTGGCTCACTGCAACTTCTGCTTCCCAGATTC